GAGTCCTGGGTGTGATGGTTTGGCCCCCACAGAGCACTGATGTCAACATCATCAAGTCTGTCTGGGATTACATGAAGAGACAGAAGGATTTGAGGCAGCCTACATCCACAGAAGATCTGTGCTCAGTTCTTCAAGATGTTTGGCACAACCTACCTGCTGCGTTCCTTCAAACACTGTGTGCAAGTGTACTTAGAAGAATTGATGCTGTTTTAAAGGCAAAGGGTGGTTACACCAAATATTGATTTGATTTGAATTTCTCTTCTGTTCATTTACTTTTTATTTGTTAATTGACAAAAATACACTATTGACACGTATTTCTGAAATCATTCTTACTTTACAGCATTTTCTCACCTAAAACCTTTGCACAGTACTGTGAATATTAAAATAATTAGTAATAAGCACGTCATATGCAATCCAGCTAAATTACACCATAGGTCTTACAGACTCTGTAAGACCTATAATTACTGTGTATAAATGCAGAGTAGCATACAAATGGAGCCATATTTGCTAGGCTAATAATATTTATATACTCAATATGACAACAAAGTAAGTTACCCTGGAAATAACCTATTAATTGTGAAACATTGATGAAAACGAGCTGAATGATACATAGGAGCTGCCCAGAACAACCACATGTGGCTTAACCTGTGTGAGGACACCATCTACTTGGAAATTAACTCCAGATATAATTCTGATATAGTAATCGGCATGTAGTCCCTAGTCAGTGCAAAATAGTGTATATTTTCCCAGCTGCAGTTGCTGTGTAAGGAACATACAACACGGCGATAACATGATTACATATTCACCCTTAATGTGAACCTATGCTTTGCCCATATACTGCAAACAGAGAAAGCATTGTGTAAATCCTGACTTGGAGCTTAAACAGGGCTAAAGCCTCTATTGTACTCTTGTGTCCATGTTAGGAGTCTAACTGGCCAATCACCAAGCAAGAGCTGTGTCACAGGCTCCCCATATATGAAAATACTAGGAATTTGTTTTCCCTATCAGTCGCTGAACAAATTAGCAGAGGGAGTAAAGGGATGGTGCCATTGAGGAGGACGGCAGTAAACCCTTCACATGGGCAAAGCAGAGGTTTGATTTAAAGTAAATCTGTAATGAGAGAAATATGAAAAGTCTTCTTGAAAATTGCAAACCTAAATCCAAAACCCCATTGAAGTGTGTGTGTGTGTGGGGTTTGGGAGGGTGAATCTGGAACACCAATTCTAGTTATTTTCAAGGCTAATAGGCAAGTGATTGTGAAACAAAGAGCATGGGAAGCTGAGCACTGCACTAGTTGACACAGTGACCAATGCAGGAAAAGTAGAAGAAAAAGTAAAAGCCATTTTTCAAGCCCATCAAACTCTTAAACAATCCAATTGAAGTCTATGGGGGGTTTCTGGAAATCATTTTTGGCCATTTTCAAAAATAAAAGGGCATGTGGAGTTTGGTACTACAATGGGGGACATAAACAAATGCAAGAACAAAACTTAAAAAGTACTGTTCAGCAGAGGGTCCACCTTTTTATGTGACTTTGAGGGTGACATTGGAAAAACATCGATCCTTTTAATACATGCTTGGGTGATGCCTTTAAGCTGTATGTGGTGTTACAGAACAGTATGATTCTCATGGACAGCTTCAGCAGCACTGCATTCTGACATCACATATTTGCATGTATACATTTATATATTTTTACATTATTGCTTGGCTTTATTACAGTAACAGCAGCACCTCAATATGATCCATATTATAACTATCAAAAATTGCTTTTTTAGGTCCTTTTGGATACAACACCTGAATATTATTATTTTTTTACCTGTGGTAGTAGCAGCCACAACAGATCTAAAATCTAGAGGAAATTGTACTCGTAAAAGAAATAAAGCTTAAAGCCGCACTCTGAGCAAGATGATCATTTACACTTGAATTTTTCGCAACCATAGCTTAAGAATGTAAATGTTGCAGATGAGAATTACCCAAATTTGTTGAACGTGTCGGAAATAGCAAGAATTGAATTTGGCAAAAGACTAAAAATGATTTTGCCAAATTCAAAAGACTTGGCCATAACGTGTCCCAAATGCTTTATTGAATAGCCCCCAAGATGTTTATGGCTCAGTGTAAATATGGACCGTTTTAGCAACGACCATTAGCATCTAATTGTCCCTGGAAACACTAAATTCTCTTCCAAACCTGCTATACCACTGTACAACACACTGTTAGTGTGTCTGTCACTGAATGTAAGTATAGATAGACATTTTCAGTAATCTGCACCAGCATCCAACTCTCCCTGGAAACACTCTAAATTACCTTCCTAATCTGCTATGAACCACTGTACAACACACTATTAGTGTGTCTGTGACCCAGTGTACATACAGGTGAAACTCGAATAATTAGAATATCGTGCAAAGTTCATTTATTTCACTAATGCAACTTAAAAGGTGAAACTAATAGACTCATTACATGCGAAGCAAGATAATTCAAGCCGTGATTTGTCATAATTGTGATGATTATGGCTTGCAGCTCATGAAAACCCCAAGAACCCCAAATCCACAACCTCAAAAAAGTAGATTATTACATGCAATCAATAAAACAAGGATTGTACATAGAACAATATCGGACCTCTGAAAAGTACAAGCATGCATATGTACTCAGTACTTGGTTTGGGCCCCTTTTGCAGCACTTACTGCAATTACTTTTGCACGATATTCTAATTATTCGAGTTTCACCTGTATAGATAGACATTTTAAACAATCAGCGCCAGCATTAGCACCCATCTTTCCCTAAATATTCTATGTCTGCTGCAACAACACTGAACAAAGGCTGCTGTGAAACCTGACTTTTAAAGGGAGGGGGGCTGGCACAAGAAAGTCCCCATGATTGGCTCCTCCAAGCAACCTTACTACAGTTTAGAGGCCAGGAAGTACATTGTTGGGAATGTGTTGCTATGGGCATGAATAGCTGCATTTGTTTGCCATTTTCTCAAACAGCGAATGGTTGCACCCATAGTCAACCTGAACCTGAAGCTCATCGCTATTAAGTACCTGTTTCTGAAAAGACTGGTTGCCTGGTTATTACGCTGACCCTATGACTTCAGTATGGTTTAAGTCACTAACACATGATAAGTATGCAGATAAGACAAGTCAGAGACAAGTTCGAAGTCCTTATCAGCAGACAGGTTAGTGACTCAAAGTATTGAAATAAGAGGATCAGTGTGACAGACAGCAACTAGAGTTTTCAGAAGGAGAAGTCAGCCGTGGCAGCCACTTTGTTTCTCTTGAGATGGAATTCAATGAAAAAAAGAAATCAGGTTTAATGATATTATCTCAAGTTACTCTGAAAAGGAAAATTAGTCTGAGTGTGATTTCACCGGGTTTTGTTTATGTCCCTTTAATGACACCTATAGGATGATAATAATAGTACTGTATTAAAGGGAACTGTATGGCTATGACTAATTTTATAGTTCTGAATCACGTGCAGGTGAGCAAAGAGCATATGTGGAGGAAGAGTCCTATCTAGTCTTTCTAGTCTTTCATCTGAAGTATTACTCATAGGGCAAGATTTGGAAATGCATGTACGTGCAATGTGACAGTTTTCTGTATTAAATATGTTCAACATAAGATTTAAGTTAGTTGATCTACCATGTGCATTTTCTAAAGTGTCCTTTCTAAAAACCTGAGTCTTCACGGAAAGGACAACGTGTGATTACTCCTAGGGAGCCATTAAATGTATTTATACTGGTTTGTATTTTGAGAAACTGAAAAATTTATTTTCTATCCTTTTGAATCATAAAAGTGATTATTTCTCATCAAACATTTTATGTTCCAACCCGCAGCCTTGTTCCATGCCACAGAGATGTGAAGGTAGGTCACCAGCACTCCACAAAGCGAAGAAAAGATTGTTTATTGCAAAAACCGTCACATAGGTCAAAATTGCCAACATTTTAGGGCCGCGCAGGGTTCCTTCTTCAAGGCGACACAGTGATGCCTTGAGGTCACTATGTCGCCTTAAGGAAGAGACCCAGCACAACTCCAAAATGTTGGCAATTCTGACTTACGTGACATTATTTGCAATAAACAATATTTTCTTTTCATTTTGGAGTGCTGGTGACCTACCTTCACATCTCTGAGGTTCTGCATGGCACCATCCGAGGCGCTCACTTCGAGCACTTGTCTTATGTACACTGGTCACAACGCTGTATGGTGTGCAGCAGGCACTTTCAACAATTGATGTTCCATGCCACAGACTTACAAAGTAGGAAGTGAGAAAATGAGGCTGAATGTTTGGGAACTTCCAGGTTGTATAGCAATGTAGCTGTGGCATCTGTATTATGACAAACTGTTTCATTTAAGGAACCAGACTGACATTTTCTAAAACTAAAGCAAGCATCCATAAAGCAGACAAAGTTAAGAACAAACCACTTAATGTCAGTTTTATGTTTACAGCAACTTTGACTGTAAGTTTGTCAAAATGCCTCTTCCTCTGGGGACTGTTAAAATGCTGGTCACTTGTGGCAAAGCTAGAGGCACACTGATGATAGAAAATATGTTGAAGTTTGACGGACACATGACAAAGTATTAAGTAAATGAACTGAAACAGCTAGAGGAACCCTAGAAGACAATGGGTGCTCATTGTTACATAGGAGTAAGGGAAGAATTACTGTATGTGAGGGTGTTTTACTGCTTCATATATCAGTGTATTATAGCAGTGATGGGGAAGGCAACAGAATTTACACAGAAAAGTTTATGTTTTATAGTATGTGAATGCACACTGGGTTGATTTATGAAAGGAATAGAGCCTGCTCACATGGCAAATGAATGTCCGTTGAGCTTGGTGAATAGGATGAAGCTGTGTTTACTTCAACCAATCACACTAGCAGAAAATCCACTTTTGTAAAATTTCGCTTGCATATAGTTTTACAAGAAATGTTCTCATTTCTACTGACATTTTTTTCCACTGAATGGTTAATGTTCACTCATTTCATAATATGAATTATCTTTGTTTTGCAGGTGGTTGGTGACTTGTTGGAGTTCTGCTTCTATACCTTTAGGGAATCTCAGGCGCTGAAAGTGGAGTTTCCTGAGATTTGTCATAATTGTGATGATTATGGCTTGCAGCTCATGAAAACCCCAAGAACCCCAAATCCACAACCTCAAAAAAGTAGATTATTACATGCAATCAATAAAACAAGGATTGTACATAGAACAATATCGGACCTCTGAAAAGTACAAGCATGCATATGTACTCAGTACTTGGTTTGGGCCCCTTTTGCAGCACTTACTGCAATTACTTTTGCACGATATTCTAATTATTCGAGTTTCACCTGTATAGATAGACATTTTAAACAATCAGCGCCAGCATTAGCACCCATCTTTCCCTAAATATTCTATGTCTGCTGCAACAACACTGAACAAAGGCTGCTGTGAAACCTGACTTTTAAAGGGAGGGGGGCTGGCACAAGAAAGTCCCCATGATTGGCTCCTCCAAGCAACCTTACTACAGTTTAGAGGCCAGGAAGTACATTGTTGGGAATGTGTTGCTATGGGCATGAATAGCTGCATTTGTTTGCCATTTTCTCAAACAGCGAATGGTTGCACCCATAGTCAACCTGAACCTGAAGCTCATCGCTATTAAGTACCTGTTTCTGAAAAGACTGGTTGCCTGGTTATTACGCTGACCCTATGACTTCAGTATGGTTTAAGTCACTAACACATGATAAGTATGCAGATAAGACAAGTCAGAGACAAGTTCGAAGTCCTTATCAGCAGACAGGTTAGTGACTCAAAGTATTGAAATAAGAGGATCAGTGTGACAGACAGCAACTAGAGTTTTCAGAAGGAGAAGTCAGCCGTGGCAGCCACTTTGTTTCTCTTGAGATGGAATTCAATGAAAAAAAGAAATCAGGTTTAATGATATTATCTCAAGTTACTCTGAAAAGGAAAATTAGTCTGAGTGTGATTTCACCGGGTTTTGTTTATGTCCCTTTAATGACACCTATAGGATGATAATAATAGTACTGTATTAAAGGGAACTGTATGGCTATGACTAATTTTATAGTTCTGAATCACGTGCAGGTGAGCAAAGAGCATATGTGGAGGAAGAGTCCTATCTAGTCTTTCTAGTCTTTCATCTGAAGTATTACTCATAGGGCAAGATTTGGAAATGCATGTACGTGCAATGTGACAGTTTTCTGTATTAAATATGTTCAACATAAGATTTAAGTTAGTTGATCTACCATGTGCATTTTCTAAAGTGTCCTTTCTAAAAACCTGAGTCTTCACGGAAAGGACAACGTGTGATTACTCCTAGGGAGCCATTAAATGTATTTATACTGGTTTGTATTTTGAGAAACTGAAAAATTTATTTTCTATCCTTTTGAATCATAAAAGTGATTATTTCTCATCAAACATTTTATGTTCCAACCCGCAGCCTTGTTCCATGCCACAGAGATGTGAAGGTAGGTCACCAGCACTCCACAAAGCGAAGAAAAGATTGTTTATTGCAAAAACCGTCACATAGGTCAAAATTGCCAACATTTTAGGGCCGCGCAGGGTTCCTTCTTCAAGGCGACACAGTGATGCCTTGAGGTCACTATGTCGCCTTAAGGAAGAGACCCAGCACAACTCCAAAATGTTGGCAATTCTGACTTACGTGACATTATTTGCAATAAACAATATTTTCTTTTCATTTTGGAGTGCTGGTGACCTACCTTCACATCTCTGAGGTTCTGCATGGCACCATCCGAGGCGCTCACTTCGAGCACTTGTCTTATGTACACTGGTCACAACGCTGTATGGTGTGCAGCAGGCACTTTCAACAATTGATGTTCCATGCCACAGACTTACAAAGTAGGAAGTGAGAAAATGAGGCTGAATGTTTGGGAACTTCCAGGTTGTATAGCAATGTAGCTGTGGCATCTGTATTATGACAAACTGTTTCATTTAAGGAACCAGACTGACATTTTCTAAAACTAAAGCAAGCATCCATAAAGCAGACAAAGTTAAGAACAAACCACTTAATGTCAGTTTTATGTTTACAGCAACTTTGACTGTAAGTTTGTCAAAATGCCTCTTCCTCTGGGGACTGTTAAAATGCTGGTCACTTGTGGCAAAGCTAGAGGCACACTGATGATAGAAAATATGTTGAAGTTTGACGGACACATGACAAAGTATTAAGTAAATGAACTGAAACAGCTAGAGGAACCCTAGAAGACAATGGGTGCTCATTGTTACATAGGAGTAAGGGAAGAATTACTGTATGTGAGGGTGTTTTACTGCTTCATATATCAGTGTATTATAGCAGTGATGGGGAAGGCAACAGAATTTACACAGAAAAGTTTATGTTTTATAGTATGTGAATGCACACTGGGTTGATTTATGAAAGGAATAGAGCCTGCTCACATGGCAAATGAATGTCCGTTGAGCTTGGTGAATAGGATGAAGCTGTGTTTACTTCAACCAATCACACTAGCAGAAAATCCACTTTTGTAAAATTTCGCTTGCATATAGTTTTACAAGAAATGTTCTCATTTCTACTGACATTTTTTTCCACTGAATGGTTAATGTTCACTCATTTCATAATATGAATTATCTTTGTTTTGCAGGTGGTTGGTGACTTGTTGGAGTTCTGCTTCTATACCTTTAGGGAATCTCAGGCGCTGAAAGTGGAGTTTCCTGCTATGCTTGTGGAAATCATCAGTGATCAGCTACCAAAGGTAGAGTCGGGGAATGCCAAGCCTTTGTACTTTCACAGAAAGTAACTGGAAGAGTCTTACAGGAAAACTTTGCCTTAAGTTTCCTCCGATGTTCCATACACAAGCTGGATATAAGAAACTACATTTTTTTTTATTCTTTCAAAAACAAGGAAGATAGACTCTTTTAAGCTGAATAATAAAAACAAATCACACTGTTTGGGGACTGAAGAATAAATGCCTGGAATCATGAGAGATGCAGCCAGCACCCCCCGACACTTGATAATTACTCCTATTCCTATGGATAAAAAGCCATATCTAGTCAATGACTGATTCGTTTTGATATTTTAACATTGAAATTAGAAGGAAATGCCATGGAGTTTCTGGCTTTGTTTCATTTGGGTTCATGGACACAAGAAGACTTTTAAATGGTTACCCTCGGTTTGCACACAACGTGTACAATCAATATGGGGCATTAAATATTCTTTTCTTGTACAAAACAAAGAGAAAGCTGATGAGAAAACAATAAAAAAAAGCTGTTGTATAAAAAAAAATGAGGAACCTTTGATGTTGGATAATCACTTCCCTTTTGTGGCATTTGTTGTCCCATGTTATGAGTCATACTGCAAGATGAAGGCGATGCCTTCTATTTTTATGCTTTGTTTTCCGCAGTGGTAGTTGGCGCCAGTGCTGTGCCATCGGAGGCATAGACCTCGCTCCCTTTGCCATGTAAGCATGCAGCAAGTTTTACATGAACCCCTGGTGTGTAAAGCAGGCATTTATCTAATTCAAATAAAAAGTGATAATTCACCATAAAAAAAATGAAAGGTGGTACAATGTTCAAACAAATGCCCCGTCTCGATTTTATATTTGCTATATTGTGCTGGCTTTACAAATAATTTTACGCAGTCTATGCTGTATTGTATATTGCTATATATGTATAAATTGTGAAGGACCTGAGTCAAAAAAAAACTGTATGGTAATTTTTGTAAATTAGACTGAAAAAAAATCTTTAATGACTAAGGATGAATGGAAAGTATAGGAAAGTATTTTTGAAAGAATTCTATTTTGATGGAGAATATTTAAGTACTCTCTTTGTCTAAATAAGGTAATTTTTTTTTTTTTGTAAAGTGAACATGTTTTGCATGGATTCTGAACTGTTTACAGTGTATTTAAGGAAGGGAAAGCTGTGCCTTTTTAGCATCATATCTAATTTACCATTTTGCAATATCTGTTTGTAAATAGACTCACCTAAACTTTTTCAGTTATATTTAAGCTTTTCTACTTTTCTGTAAAACAGAAAAAAAGGTTCTACTTTTTTTGTGTACTGCTTGCAAGTAATACTGGAGCACACTTTCTAGGAATCCTTCCTCTTTTCTTGTGAATTACACTATTTTATTTTTCAAGGCGGACTTACTGTAAGTATGTTCCAAACGTGCTACAGGGTGGGAAAGGTTTTCCTGAGAAACACACTGAAGACAAAGCGTTCCTACAGGATCACTGACTCCCTCCAACATTGTGGGCCTTGTGTCTAAAAAAGGTTTTTTTGCCCATAGCAGCTGTTCAGGTTCTTACCTACATTTTAAAGTGCAATGGAAAAATGAAAGCTGGAATCTAATTTATTGCTTTGGACAACATCAAACACTTTTGTACACAAGCTCCCCTCCTCCCACCCATTTTTATTTTATTTGTTTCACGCGGGAAATTGCTTCATACATGAGCACTTCAGTTTTTAGGGTTATGGAGGGTAAGGTGTGAAGAGGCATGCCAAAAAAGATACCTTTATAGAGTGCACTTTACTTTCTGTATCAAGAAATCCTCATTCCCCAATATTCTATTTTAAACTTTATCTATGTACTTGGGGCTCATTTGGTAGTACCTGTTGCCATGCCAGATCTATGTGGGTGTAGACTCAGGCAGGCAGTGTGAAAGTTTGAGAATGATATGCCTTTATATGTAAAGGGGAAAATCTATTTCAAAATAAAATTTATTATATTTTTAAATGTATGGCATTACCGAATAGTATGACTAAAAATGGCACCAAAATGTTATCTTACCTCCTCCAAAAGATCAGACTTTTCGTCATCAGTGGGCCGAAGGTTGTAGAGTAATAAAGACAAACCTGGAATGTTTGGCATAAAAAGAGAATATGGTACAGTGTGATTCTGCATTTAAAAGGAAAGAAATAGCAAAGCCAAGGTGTGGCCAGTGCTATTAGAATGGTTGGGAAGATGTCTCTATCCTGTTACTACATCCTTTACAGTCCAGGCAACATGCATAACTAAAGTCTTGCCTTTGCCCACTGAGGTTTAAGAGTGGTACTGTAATGGAGTAGGCCAGGAATAGTAACATGTAAGAAGTGATGACGGTAATACCTCTAATAACTAGTGGAAACCTTTACCAAATACATTAACAGTCTGACAAGGAGGCCTTGAACATTTCACACTACAATTAAGGGTACTAGCCATATTCGATTTGTTGTTTTGACCCACAAAAATACCAGTGACCATCTTTTGTCCTCTCTTCCATTAACTGTGCACCTGTACAGAGTATGGGGGTTAATTTACCAAAGGCAAAACGGCTGTTCACTTTGCAAGGAAATCTTCCCTTAGTTTAGTGAATGAGGTGAAGCTCTGCTGACTTCCATCATCCAATCACATGTATGCAAAAATACTGTTTGTTTAAATTTTCCTTGAACATGACTGGGTATTCCTTGTAAAGGTGAATTTTTACCAAATTTACTAACCTAAGGGAAAATTCCATTGCAAAGTGAAAAGCCTATTTGCCTTTATTAAATCAACCTCTATATGTAAGATTCACAGTGGAAGCTAAGAGAGGTCTGAAAGAATGAAAACTTTTGTGGGAGCTAACCCTACATGGTAGTTCCTTGTATTAGTCCGCTTATCACTTCACAGTGTGGCATAAGGCAGTAGGCTTCTATCAATGTACAAACATGTAACTAAAGCTTGCCATACACCTATAGATTTTGTTCAGATGGAAAATGTGCAACAGATTCCTCCATCTACTCTAAACTGTGTGGATGGAGGAATCTCCCACTGGGCCAATCTTCAGCTCTCAAAACACCTGAACAATGCCTGCATTCAATCAGATGCCCAGGGAGGCCGATTAGCAGGATACTGAAGCTTGGCCAAGTGGGAGATTCCTCCATCCACAGTTTAGCGTAGATGGAGGAATCTGTTGCACTTTTTCCATCTGACCACAGAAAATCTGCAGATAAACTATAGGTGTATATCCAGCTTAAGCCTACCATGATTATTTGTCTTCATAGATTTCCCAGAATCCCACCTTAGTTCAGTCTGTTGTAAGGGTAAACAAGAGTTGACTGTTGGCTATATGTAGTGTGTTGTGGAATATGGGAGGGTCTAATGGGGCTATTTTGTCTCAGGTTACATCAATGTTGGCAAGTATATTAGATTTTATAAAGAAACTGTAACTGATTGAGCTAGTATTAGGAGACTCGTGTACCCTGACCAAATATCACAAAGAGAATTTCCAACCTGAAAAACATAACATTGTTGCTTTAGGCTCAGTGGGTATGGTCCATGGTAGCCAAGTATGAACCTAATTCTGTAGCCATCTGAAAGTGGCTCATACTTTAACCGCCATAGAGTGCTAGTATGCCGCTCTCTGCAACAAGCCATTTAAAAAGAACATACCAAGGTATAAAGCCATTAGGACTATGATGATTACAGTATTGGGCTTATTTAGTATAATCAGTACAAGTAGTAGTAATGACATTCAAATTGCTGTAATCCGTGGCAACCAGACTCTCTAGCTTACTGCAGTCACATCGATTACAAGCCGATTTCTTATTGGGTTACTACACTAGTCACATTATTATTGCTTTTTGCACTACTTTATAGGAAAGGCGAGGCCTGTTACACTAACTTAAACTTAGCACACCAAGAACAGTTGTGTGTACACAGCCTATAGTATCCAAGCTACTACCATTTAGAAATTTTCATTTGAATGAGGAAACTCAGCCACTGAGGATAGTTTATCATTTGTAAATATCCATCTATACACTGGAACAGGAAATTTACCCCAAGGCAGGTTTTATGTATAGGGATATCTCAGTCATTTATATCATTTTTCCAAATTCTAGGCAGATTGATTCCATTGAAAAGAATAAGCAAGACTCGTATAACAAGCCAGAATACTGCTTGGGAATATTGTTATCCCTCCTGTAAAGCCAGCAAACAATGTGTACAAAGCACTGCACACCAAATCCATTTCATTACTTGCACATGAAGACATAGGAAACAAGCACTGCAGTAATGTAGATTTTCACCTTTGGTCATGCACCAGTTTGCAGTTCTTAGACACTGGCATAAGACTTTTTAGCACTGTAATGATCCCAGCATGAATACATTGGGTATGCTATAACCTTTACCAGGCGCAGTGCCGTTTATACTCTGCAATCTACCAATAAGTAGTGTATAGGGTATAGTTTATTGCCAACATGTTTATAGCTTTTTCCAAAGCAGGGTATGGTCTAGTATTCTTAAACCTGTAGTCAGTTTTACAACAAAAAAAAGAAAAGAAAAAAAAAAGAAAACAATATTTGATAATATGAACCTGTTTGTCACACAGTTTTTTAACAGTTTTTAGATTATCTTTCCACCACCTCGGATTCACATTGTACATGTTCTGTTAAACATGATTTCACATCACTAACATTGATCTTCAATGTTATAGGATCTCATTTAGGGAACAATAGTGTCTGCAGTCAGGGTGTACAATAAGAGCGAAAGGCTGGATTTGAAGCCAGAAAGCAGTTGGGTACGTCACTGAGTCTGGGTACCTGCCTTATGTCCAGGTCCAGGCTGGGTATTGGCAGCTTTCTGCATCGTCCTTAGAAGCTGCACAGCAGAGAGCACAGTCTGTTTTTCTATCCTGCTTAAAGCAGGCATGGGTAACTATGGGGAGTCACTAAACCGATGCTATTTAATGCCATATTTGTGTCTCAATATCATTTTACTTAAGGGCAGCATTAAAAAAACAAAATAATGAAAACTTGTGTGAATTGTTTTTGTTGGAAGCCAAACTCCATTTTTATTTTGACATTTTCTACTAATAAAAAGAAAAAACCTTGCATTAGTTTTCTGTGGTCTCCCATTAATTGCTGCTGACCTAACAATACTCTAAAGCACACACACACACACACACACACACACACACACACACACCATTTAAAGTGATTGCATTGTCTCTTCTCACAGAAAACTAACAAATGAAAGGGCTGCTCACCATGTATTAGCAGCTGAACACATTTGGTTGGAACAGTATGATTGCAGCTTATAGCAGAGCTGACGGACAAAACAAATCTTAAGACTGCATTGGCATCTAAGCAGTTCCCAGCAGTACAACACAGTCAGCCATGCAGAAAACATAGAACTGTCATACAGATCAATCAGACCCAATCATACCGCCTCAGTGCAATGTGTTCTAGAAAATGCAACAGCCATGAATTTCACTGCTTGAAAGGCTGTTTTAAAGCCAGAGAAATCCATGATAAAGCAATGGTTCAGTGAAGTATATCATTCGACCAGCAGAAGGAGTGTCAATGCGCCACAAGACATGTCGTAAGGTGCATTAACCATTTCTGGACCTTGGATACAAGTGTACCTCTGCGTGCCTCAAAGTCTGTAAGTGACCACAGTTACCTCACTGAGAAGAGCCGCTTCCCGAGCCATGATACCTGTGCCCCGATTCAGCCGCCGGAGACTCTGTAGTGTAGCCATGTGAAGTTGTAGAGCGGTCCCTTGTGTATCCTTTCGCAGTTGCGGTCAGCGGAGGAAGGATACGTGAGCCAGTGCCAACTCTGTAGTGGTTTTAATGGCGATCACATGACAGCCCCAAAAAAGGCGTTATTTTGAAACAGCACAAATGGAACCAGGCAAATTAAGGGCTACCTGTACTTTCTAAGTATGAAGCACCACCGTAAAACTCCTATTTCTGGAGGGGTCATGGCCGACTGCGAAGGAAGATGGCCGCATAAGAGACGTGCTCCGGCTTCGTATCCGCAGCAGGACATAGCGACACGGCAAGAGGGGCCGCCAGCGCTTAATATCCACATCCCCGTCTTCCTCTTTTACCAGAGATGAGGATGAACAAACGAAAACACAAGGGAGGGCCGCGGAAACTGACAGATTTCTTTAAGGCCGCCTGGACGCCACAAAGATGGCGCCGACCCGCCCTGCACGTCAGCAATGTCCTCCACTGCCCCTAGGAGAAGGGCCAGACAGCAGACTGTGCCGTCCAACGCAACACCGGGCGAGACTTCAGGTAGTGCTGGCTCATCTACCGAGGGTAGCCCAGAGAAGCCGAAATCAAAGAGGGCCATCCCGAATTCCAGAAACAGGGAGGTAAGCTCTGCATCCCCTACTGATGATATTGCTGACCCTCCTGATGACCATGATGTTTATCCGACATCTAACCAGCCCATCATGGACACCACTTTAAAGGATATGCTCCTGTCTCTCCGAAATTCATTACATGAAGACTTTTCATCCCTCATCCATCCACAAGTTCACTGAGGAACTTAATGACCTGGGAGATAGAGTGGATTTCATGGAAACTACAGCTGATGAGGTCCCCCGCCTTAAAGATATAATGTCAATCTGAGAGGAGTGACCGAGACGGTATCATTGA